CTATGAGTCGGTTCCGACTCGATGGCACCTGACAACAACAACAACAGAACAAATTATTTAGCCCCTAATTGATTTTGTTCTTCTGTAGTAGTTTGCATGTTGCTGTGATTTGGGAAGCTATGCCACAGGTATTTTAAATACCAGCAGGATCACCCACAGTGGACAGGTTTCAGTTGAACTTTCAGATGAAGACAGATGAAGAAGGAGAGATGGATTACTTCCAGATATTTAGTTAGTGAAAACCTTATGATTAGCAGTGGAACACTGTCAGCACCAGAATATTGAATATTGAAACATGGTGAAGAACACAAGAATATTGTCAGATATAGTACCAGAAGATGAGTCCCGCAGGTTGGAAGGCACTCAAAATATGACTGAGGAAGTGCTGCCTCCTCAAAGTAGAGTTGACCGTGATGACTCGGATGGAGTAAAGTTTTCAGGACCTTCATTTGTTGATGGGGCACAACTCAATATGAGGAGAAACAGGTATGAACATCCACTCATAGTCGGAATATGGATGGAATATATGAAATATGAATCTAGAAAAAGTGTAAATTGTTTAAAATTAAATGGAACACATAAACATTGATATTCTAGGCATTAGTGAGCTGAAATGGATTGCCATTGGCTGTTTTGAATCTGATAATCCCATGCTTTACTTTGCTGGGAATGACAAATTGAGGGGGGATGATGTGTCACATTCATCATCAAAAGAACATACCAAGAACTGTCTGTAAGTATAACTTTGTTATAGGATTTATATCCATGTGTCTACAGGGAAGACCAGTTAATACCACTGTTATTCAAATTTATGCACCAACCACTAAAGCCAGTGATGATGAAATTGAGGTAGCATATGATCAGGAGCCAATGATACTGAAGGAAGAAGTCCAAGGCTAATTGAAGGAATTGACAAAGAACAAGGCACCAGGAGTTGATGGAATAAAAATTGAAATCTTTCAAGAAAGTGAGGCAGCACAAGAGGCACTCACTCATCTCTGCCAAGAAATTTGGAAGACAACTATCTGGCCAACTGATTGGAAGAGATCCATATTTGTGCCCATTCCAAAGAGAGGTGGCCCAACAGAATGTGGATATTATCAGACAATCTCTGATATCCCATGCGAGTAAAATTTTGCTAAAAGTAATACAGGAACGGCTGCAAGCATACATTGACAGAGAACTTCCAGAGGTTCAAGCCAGATTCAGAAGAGGCCGTGGAACAAGGGATATCATTGGTGATGTCTGATGGATCTTGGCTGAAGGCAGAGAATATGAGAAAGATGTTTACCTGTGCTTTATTGACTACACAAAGGCTTTCGATTGTGTGGATCATGACAAGCTATGGGCAACATTGTGAAGTATGAATATTCCAGAACACTTAATTGTGCTCATGAGGAATCTGTACATGAACCAAGAGGCAGTTGTTCCAAAAGAACATGGGAACACTGAATGGTTTAAAATTAAGAAAGGTGTGCGACAGGGTTGTATTCTTTCACCATACTTATTCAACCTGTATGCTGAGCAAATCATCCGAGAAGCTGGGTTCTATGAAGAAAAAGGTAGCATCAGGATTGGAGAAGACTCATTAACAACCTGCGATATGCAGATGATGCAACCTTGCTTGCTGAAAGTGAAGAAGACTTAAAACATTTACTGATGAAGATCAAAGACCACAGCTTCGGTATGGATTACATCTCAATGTCAAGAAAACAAAAATCCTAACCAGTGGACCAATAAACATTCTTATCAATGGAGAAAAGATTGAAGTTGTCAAGGACTTCACTCTTCTTAGATCAACTATCAACACTCATGGAAGCAGCAGTCAAGAAATCAAATGACGTATTGCATTAGGCAAATCTGTTGCACAAGACCTTTTTAAAGTGTTGAAGAGCAAAGATGTCAGTTTGAGGACTAAGGTATGCCTTACCCAAGCCATGGTATTTTCAGTAACCTCATATGCATGCGAAAACTAGACAGTGAATAAGGAATGCAGTAGAAGAATTGATGCTTTTGAGTTATGGTGTTAAGGGGAATATTGAAAGTGCCATGGGCTGTCAAAAGAACCAATAGATCCGTTTTGAAAGAAGTGTAGGTAGAGTGCCCCTTGGAGGCCAAGATGGCCACACTCTCATACTTTGGACGTATTGTCAGGATGGACCGGTCGCTGGAGAAGGATATCATGTTTGGTAAGGTGGAGGGTCAAAGAAAAAGAGGAAGACACCCAACGAGATGGATTGGCCAAGTGGCAGCATTGATGGACTCAAACACGGCAACAGTTGTCCCAGGATCGGGCAGTGTTTCATTCTGCTGTGCATAAGGTCTCTGAGTCGGTATCGACTCGATGGCATCTAACAACAAAAACAACAGCATAAGCTTCTTGGATTGTAAAATGATAACAGTACCAACTCATGCTATGAGAATATCCAGGAAATGTGTTCCTTAAAACAGGAAAGAAAAGCTTTTCTGTTTCAAAAAATTATTGTACATTATGCAGATTTTCATTTTATGCAAAAGTAGTTCTATAGAAATGCTCTTAACTGAATAGAATTGATTAAATTCATAACTTGTCTATATCCATAATGTGTATGTTAATTTACAGTAGTCTGATTTATAAAGAACTGTGACTTCTCTAATAAAAATAGGCAGAAGTGGCTTGAATATTTGAGATCAATGTCTATTATCCAAATATTTTTAAGATTTGATTTACAATAGCTTTCCTTGATAACATATACTCATCACCCACTTGCTATAGAAGTGCCAGTTAAGTAACTCAATGAATAAACACCTGAATAATTAATTAACTGCTTTGACTTTGTTAAAAAGTAACTTAAAGATGACTTCGTGTCTTAAATTCTTTAGTGCCATCAAAAGCAAGACCAGGATATTGAACACAAACAAGTTGAATATAAACCAGCACAAAGTCGTTTAATACATGTAAGAAGTAGATCTGAAACTTCAGTCTCACCACAAGGTAACTCTTAGTTCCATGTAATAATATGATACTTATTCTCACATTAAACAAATATGTAATGAGATATCTCTACTTTTGCATGTCTTTCTCGTGTCTCTAGGTCTTTTTGCTTTTATTTTCTCTAATTTAGTCCAGTTGAATGAAGAACTTGGTATCATATGTGACTGTGTATTCACTAGTTCTTTTGCCAGTAAACATAATTTTCAATGGATTTTCTTTTAACCTTAGCAAGTGTTTCTGCTTTAATCTTGTCTTTTGATTCTTGTACAGCTGAGTATCAGGATCTTTTTGTCTATGTGTTAAACTATAGCTAGATCATAGTCAACTGTTTTCCATTATAATATGTTAAAGGCAGGGATTATGACTGTTAATGTTCTTTGTAAAGTCTATTTGGTGTTGTCAGGTGATGTTGACCAACAAGTACAACTCATAGAGCAAATGGTTCTCATGTTAAATACTATTATTACTTGAATGAACTGTTGTTTGATTATTATAATGATTTGGTTGTACTTTAATTTCACCACCAGCATTAAAATATTCTGATAATGTCTTTGATTCTATAAGGCTGCTGGTCTTGTACTTCATTTAATCTCTTACTACTTAATAATTTGAGAGTCCTTGCGTGGCGCAGTGGGTTAATGCACTAGACTGCAAAGTCGGTTTGAACCGCAGGTTGGTGATTCAAGCTCACCAGCCCCTCCTCAGAAACCCTATACAGGGTCCCTATGGGTTGGTACCGACTCATGGCACTTAACAACAACAAAAAATTAATAATTTAAAATTTTTTATAGTCGTTGTAGTCTAAATTCTGCAAGACATCAGTAGAAACTAAGATCTCATCTGTTCAAAAACGTTCTGGTCCAATCCAGGAAGAAGTATTAGGAATATTTTGAGCATTAGAAAATGTTTTTCTTTGCTTTTGTAGTTGTATTTTTCTTCATTTTCAAATCATATTTAATTGAATGAATGTTGTTGTTGCTGTTAATTGCCTTCAAGTCTGTTCTGACTCATAATGGCCCTCTATAGGGTTTCCGAGGAGTAACTGGTGAGCTTGAACTGCTGCCGTTGCAGTTCAAACCGACTTTGCAGTCCATTGCATTAACCCGCAATGCCATGTATTGAATGAATACATATTATTAAATGCCCTGTGACTATGCACTGGGCATTTGGGGATGGACCTAGATGAGGATTTGCTCAAGTTAGTTATTAAGATTGTGTTACGTGAAGCATGTAGCAGTGGTCTGCCATTTGTTTTGTGTTCCTCTCTTGTTCTACCTTTTGAGAACTTTGCCTTCCCTCTTGCTTTTTTAACCTAATCGTTATACCCAAAACCTGTGGCCATTAAGTCACTTCTGACTCAGAGAAAACCTATAGGACAGAATAGAATGATCTCAAAGGGGTTCCAAGGTCGTAATCAGCCTGGTGTGGCACTGTAGGATAAGCACTGGTAACTGAAAGGTCAGCGGTTCAAACCAACCAGCTGCTCCTTTGAAACCCTATGAGAGTCACTGACTCAGCGACACTTTGCACCAACAATTTTTATAGATGCACACTGCTACTGCTACGTATTTCTTCTGTAAAGTGGTTGGTGGATTTGAACTGCCATCCTTGTGGTTACCATTCCATTGCTTCTCCTACAGTGCCACACCAGGGCTCAATCATATTTTGAGGTTGAGCCCTGGTGTGGCATTCTGGGGTACAACCAGGTCTTAATTAACACTGTGTTTTAGAGTCCTTTGGAAAGTTATCTATAAAACTCACCTCACAGTGATTTAAAAATTAATAATGACAGTATATAAATATGAGCAAAAATGGCACTGCAGGATCAGCAGGTTAACCACAAAGTTGGTGGTTGAAATCCACCAGTTACTCTTTGGAAACCCTCTGTTGTTGTTAAGTGCCATCAAGTCGATTCTGACTCATAGCAACCCTGTATGATGTTTCCGAAGAGCAACTGGTGAGTTTGAAACTGTCTCTGACTTCGTGGTTTGCAGTCCAGTGCTTATCCTACAGCACCACCCCAGGACTCTGGAAAACACTATACAGAGTTAGAACTGATTCGATGGCACTTAACAATCACAACAGCAAGATAATATCAGGACTGAGTTGATGTCCTTTCATTAAGTGCTATTACCATTCAAGGAATCTTTGGGTGGTGCAAATGGGTAAGCATTCAGCATCTAACCATAAGTGCCGCAGAAGACAGCCCTAGAGCTTGCTTCCAAAAGCCCATATGGAACAGTTCTTCTATGCACATGAGGGTCTCCATTAGTCAGAATGAACTCGCAAGCAACCGAGAGCAACTATACCATTCATGAACAATGAGCTTATTTAATTTTTTAAGAAAATACTAATTTCTTATATTATTATAAATGAATTTTGTCATTTGAGGGGGGAGATGTAGTTAATACACTCATTTTTCTCAGCCAATAGGAAAATATTTTTCTTTGGTTGGATTTCAAGTCTAAATGTCTCTAAAAAGAATTTGATACTGTTTTCTGTTTCACCCATATGAATGTCTGACCACAAGATGGCAATAGTTAAATATATATTGACTTACAAAAATGGCATTAAATGATGTTCAGTTGACAATTAGTAAGTCATAATAAAATAAAAATCCTTATAGAAGTAAAAGAACCCAAGATAAGCGAATAGGAAGTTTTATTTAGAAAAGTTAAACAAATAGTGCATTTCAAAATTTTCATTTGATTTTACATCGAATACAATATTAGGAGAGCAGAGCTACCTAGCCTCATCTCAGAGTTAGCTATAATTAGATCACTTTAAATAGAAGCCAAGTTTTTCACTCTGTAATTGGTATATATCTGCATACTGAATATTTTTTAAATGAATTTGATTGCCATGGCAAATATAGTCAGTTATGACTTTTTTCCCATAAGTTTTGTGGGTTTCATGTTTTACTCTAATGAAACTCTGAGGCATGGTCAAATGTTTTAAAGAATAAGAGAGACCAAGTGACAAAATAATCTTCAAAGGCTCTCAGGACTTTGGGTGACCTTGAAGGAATTCACTCCTGCCTAAACACAGAAGTCTTGAAGGTACTGAAGGAAATTCACTGTATCACAACAAGATCAAAACCATATTACTTCTGGCAGATGTATGCTTCTAAGAGTGTTTAAACCCAGATTATGGCTATATCAGAGAGAAATGCATATTTCACTTTGAAGTGCATGGTAATTTAATGTGCATGTATGAAGATATCATGGACTCCTGGTATTGGCACTGTAGGATAAGCATAGGACTGCTGATTGCAAGCTCAGTGGTTCAATTCCGTTAGCCGCTCTTTGGAAACAGGTTTGCTATGAGTCAGAATCAACTGGACAGCAATTAACAATAACCACAAATAAAGATATCAAGCAGTTTATTAGCAGTAGCAACTCTTTCAACAATCATCCATTAAAAATTGACCAAAGATATGGTAGATTGCAGCACACTGTGGCCAGGAAATTTGTAAAATCCTTGTTTTTCCCCCTTCATTATTATTGTTACTTTCAGAACTCAATATAGAAGAGATAAATTGAATTGATTGTTCTGACAGATGCTATCTTTGGAATCTTTCATTTGGTATTAAATTCTTTGGGTTTATTTTTGACCACTTACTACTGCTTTCTTAATTCCATGTCATGATTGATGTGTCTAACAGTTTTATATAGTAAAAGCAACTTTGAAAAAAGTGATTTAAAAAGTCATTTCTATTTTTTCCCTGACTGTACAAGTTAACATTTATTGCATCTTTTACTGTGTATGTTAACTTCAGTACAAATGAGGGACTAGTTTTAAATCCATTTATTTGTTATGTATACAGGAATAAATAGCTTCGATAAAGTGTTATATTAAAATATACCATCTTTGAATAATTTTACTTTTTTAAGGTATCATAATGAATAGCATCATAATATGTAACATTTATTATGATGTAATAACTTTGCTGTTGTTAATAAGTGCCATCACATCATTTCTGATACATAACAACCCTACATAGGGTTTCCAAGAAGTGGCTTGTGGGTTTGAATCGCCGGCCTTGAGGCTAGCAGTCCAGTACTTATCCTATAGCACCACACCAGGACTCTGGTATAATAAATAATGATGCATTAATAACAACAAAATATAATGCTATAATAATTACAGCATAATGTGATAGTGCAATAATTGTAATATTAACAAATTATGACATCATAAGAAGTGGAAATTAGAAACTCAAGCATGCTATACTCAGTAGAGCACGTATAGCATGCTCTACTGAGTAGAGAAAAAAAATCAGACCATATGTTTATGGTTAAATCCAGGGGCAGATTGGATTGTCAAAGTTGCTTAAAAATCATAAAATTCTTCAGGTTTTTATTTGTAGATTATATATGTTACTCAGAAAAAGTAGGTATCAAAAATCAGTTTACATTTTTATGTGAAATATACTTACAGGAGCATTGTTATTTCCTTTTGGCATCATATTCCTGAGTTTAATTCTTAGTGATTTTAGCATATTTTATACCTTGCATTAGTAAAGAACAAGGCTCTGGGAACTGATAGACTATAAATTGAAATAGTTCAACAAACTGATGCAGCCCTGGATGGTCTCAATCATCTATGCTAAGAAACTTGGAAGACCAGCTACCTGGCCAACTGATTGGAAGAAATCCATATTTATACCCGTTCCAAAGAGAGGTGACAGAATGGAATGCAGAAATCATGGGACAGTATCATTAACATCACATGCAAGTAAAATTTTGCTGAAGATAATTTAAAAATGGTTGCAACAGTACATTGACAGCAAACTGTCAGAGGTTCAAGTCTGATTCAGACCAGGACATGGCAGATCATTGCTGATGTCAGATGGATCTTGGCTGAAAGCAGAGAATACCAGAGAGATGTTTACCTGTGCTTTATTGACTATGCAAAGGCTTTCAGCTGTGTGGATCTTGACATGCTATGGATAGCATTGCGAAGTCTGGAAGCTCTCCTGGAACCTGTTGTCATTATAGCAGCATGCAAGCCTCCACTGACATATGGGCAGTGACTGTGGGTGGGAGCGCATTACCTCAGAATCAAATCCTGGTCTCCTGCAGAGAAGGCAAGAATTGTACCACTGCCCTTATGAACGTCTGTTGCTGGGCTGAGACTAAAGAAACTGATAACATGCATCGGTGAGAATGCAGAGGTACTTGAATTCTCAGACAGCCTCGTGCCCGGGGACTGCAAAATGCTACAGCCACTTTAGACAACACTTCAGTCTTTGCTTATAGACTGTTTTTACGTGCTGTTGCATTGGCTCCCTCATAGTGACCATGTATACGGTTTCTGAGGAGTGGCTGGTGTGTTCGAACCACTGACCTTGTGATTAGGAGTCCAGTGCTTATGTGACAGCACCACACCAGAACTCCGTTTCCTTGTATTTGTTGTTGTTAAGTGATGTTGAGTTGGTTCAAACTCATAGCGACCTTATATAGGATTTCTGAGACTTTAAATCTTCACAGAAGCAGAAAGCCTCATGTTTCTCCCACAGAAACAGCTGGTAGGCTCAAACCATGACCTCATGGTTTGCAGTCCAGCGCTTATTATATGGAGCCACCTCAATCCCATTTCCTTATGTAGTTAAACATAAACTTAGCATGTGATCCAGTGATTCATTTTCTAGGTATTTACTAAAAAGAAATGAAAACTTAGTTTATATTCAAATTCAATATTTTTTTGCAGTTTCATTCATAATCAACAATAGCTGGAATCAATTAAGATACCCTTCAGTGGGTAAATGTGTAAACATGCTTTGGTAATCGTTACAATGAAAACTACTCAGCAATTATAGGGAATGTGCAACTGATATTCGCAGTATCCTGGATGAATATCTTATTTACATGGTACTACTCAAACAGAAATACCATAAATGGGTTGCTTTAACAGACAGAAAATTTGTTTTCTCACAGTTTGTTGTTGTTAAGTTCTGACAAGTCATTTCTAACTCATAGCAACCTTGTTTGGGGTTTCTGAAGAGGGTTGTGGGTTTGAACTTCCAAATTTGCAGTTAGCAGTCCACTGCTTATCTTAACAGCACCACACCAGGACTCTTCTCACAGTTTGGGGATAGAATTCAAACAGCAGAGGAAGTCAGAGAATTCATCAGTTCTGGGGGAATGTTCTTGTCTCTTCAGTGTCTGGGTCTCATTTCCTTGGCAATCTTCATGTGGCATGGCATCTGCCTTCCTCCATCTCTGTTTGTTTTGTAATCTGCCCCTTCATATCTCAGAAGTCCTTGAGTTATAGCAACCCTACACTACACTAACACTGCCTCTTTCACATAACAAAGAAACCAGCCTCCAAATGAATTCTAACTATAGGTATAGTAGGATTTGCAACATATATTTTTTGGTGGGAACATAATTCAGTCATAACATTCCACTCTTTCGCCTCCCTCCCCCCAAAAAATTCATGTTCTTCACATATACAAAACACATTCGCCCTGTCACATCATCCCTAAAGTCTTAAATCAACTCTTTAAATCTATATTTCATTTTTAGAATCCTATAAATCAAATATGGGTAAAACTTTAGGCATATTCTATCTTGAGGCAAAATTCCTATCTGTAAACATTGTTAAATCTAGAATGCAAGTTGTCTGCTTCCAAAGTATAATGGTGGACCAGGTACAAGGTAGACATTTCTATTATAAATGGGAGAAATTGGAGAAAAAGAAAGGTTAACAGGTATCAAGCAAGTCCAAAACCAAGCAGAACAAGTTACATTAGCTCTCAAAGCTTGAAAAGAATTCTCTGTTGTGTAGGACCATCTGGGTGTTGGCCGTGTTGTCTGGATTTTGGGCCAGAGCCCCATCTTCATGGCTTACCTGAAAGGCAGTCCCATAGTCTCCAGAGCAGAGTTGGTGGGGATCTGCAAGAACTGTGGCTCCCCTCTCTGAAACCCCCAGAGACTGTGACTCCACACTTTTATGG